GGCCTGCCCAGTCGAAAAATTACTTTTACAAGTTAGTTTTCCTTTGCCTTTTAAAACTTCTTGAAATAAACTTGTCTTTGTTCTTGGATTTTTCTGCTTGCCGGAAGTGCACATGTGGCTGTCATAGTATTATTCACCTCATTTCAAAAACATGAATTTAGGTTAAGTAGCTATATGGCTTTCATTTTTTTCAAATTTAAAATCTCAAGGCTAAAATATGTATTAGCTGCATCTAGTTTGTCTTTGTTAAAATTGGTAAACACCAGAAATAAGGTGATTTCTCTTAAGTCGTCCTTTAGGAAATATTTCACAATAATACACAATGACATGTGCACACATTTCTGTATAAGAATATAATATGCAAGAGCATGTATATGATCTACTTGGAAGCAATCCCTGTAACCTCAGTAATTCTCAAGGATTCCTGTAGACATTTCATTTTCACACATGCTGATGAAGGCATCACTCTAGAGTGCAGCACAGAACCCCAAATTCTCTGTACTCACCTACCCTATCCCTGTGTCCTGGAGGTCATGCTAAAGCTTAGAGAACCTGTGAGTGTGTTTTGCTGCCTCTGTTGCCATTTTCATCTGCCAAGGTCATGTTCTGTTGACTTACATGGACCAAAGTCAACCCAACGAAGGAAGATGCTGCTCTCCTGTCTTTGCACTACTGTCACTCACATTCAGATCACTGAGGTGCTTGTCTTCTGTGACACTGCATAGGAGCACAAACTTTTGCTCTTTCCACTCTCCCACTGAAGCACCCCCTAATAAAGTAGTGACCCAGATCTACCTGTATGTGGGATGAGAAGAAAATGGATATGAACATAGAGAACAAATCCAAAATGTGGAGACACCATTCAGAGTGCATTAGAGTCCCAACTAGCAAGTATTGTCTTCACTATTCCCTTACTGAATATATTTTTCCACCCAGAGAGGTTTCTTGGCATTTTGCATTTATGTTTCTTGAGGATCTGCTCCATCACTGCTCAATTCACCCTCTTTTCTGAAATATGAGGACACATACAGCTAAGTTAAACCCTGGACATTTGCTTCTTAAAATTTTAACACAATTAATTAAATAAGTCTTTATTGCCTAGATATTGATGTTGTTATTTATTTCTTGTGATCATCTTGATTTAGGAAGACTACATTGCTACATTAGGTACTGATTTCATTTGTTTTTGCTAAATATTGTGAAAACATGATTGTAAACTGTTACTTTCTGTTTGTCTTTGGTCTAGGAAACAACTAGGATCTATAAAGATCCCAGAAAAAAATCCCTTTCCATGGACTTTGAAAAGTCAGTCCCAATAGGTAGTCCATGATGTCATGTGTCTTGGACCATAAGCACTGGGTTACTTCTTTTCTTTTAAAGTCTAAAGATTTATAAAGTAGTAAAATGAAGTGCTCAATGGTGTAGAATAATATGTATTCTCAGATGGGTCAAGGAATTTTCACAAAGAAGATAGAATTGTGAATGTCTAACTTGTAGATGGTTTATTAAAAACAGAAGGCAGAGTAATTCTTAATTCTAGAGAAGAAAATAGTATCACATTTCTGAAGATACAGCTTAAAATATTACACATTGCAATACTATTTATCCTATTTAACTGTTTTCCAACTTGCAATCATTTAACTTATTGAAGTATAAACAAAATATCTAATTTCTGCTTTTTTCTTAATTGTACGCAGTGGGAATGATTTTTATATGTTTTAGTCTAGAAACTTAAAATTATCTGTATTTATTTTCATGTGAATAATAGTTTTGTTGAAAATATACATAAAAATATAAAGCTAAATTGTCATAATAAAGTTACTTTGGTATTACTCTTTTGCATTTTGCTATGTGTATGACTTTTTAAACACCGATGCTGTATTGAAGATACTGCCACGTATCCACTTTCTTCTTTGTAAATCCAGCAATGTCTCAGAGATTTCATGAAATATGCCTCAGTGAAATATTTCAGTGAGTTTGGTTGAAACTGCTTTCCTCATTTCTTCTTCAAGCCAAACGGATTTCAAGTGACTTGGACAGGGATATCATGCTAGGGGTTAGTTGTGGAGGTAGGGTATGTCTGCTTAGAAACGAGGAGACAGGGGTGTTCCCTTTGTCACCTGGTCTTGAAGTTTTCTTCCTCTGTTGTCCTCAGCCCCACTCCCCCATCCAATCATCCCTCCTCCCTCTTTCATTACAGGTGATATGGCCTTCAGTGATGCCCCTCTGGGGTGGTCTCAGAAATGGGAAACTGTGCCCATCCTCCTGTCCATGTTCCCCTCACCTACAGGAATTCAGATACCTAGGGCTTACCAGAAAAACCTGGGCTGGAAAACTAGCCTTACTCCTCAAACACCTGCTAATGTTACTGATCTCATTCTGGTTTTGGCTGGATTGTCTTTCCTACCTGCCAACTTAGCAATAGAATTAAAATGCACTTAATATTGTATCCACAACTTGACTCTTTTTAATCAAAGAGATTATTTTGTAAATCTCTTCTGCCATCTGATACAAATGAACGTCAAGACTGTTTACTTTGGAGGTTAACACTATGCCATGCGTGTTTCTATGTGTGTCTTTGCTAGAGGGTGATGCTGCTTTATTTAGTTTAAATGCTTATGAACAGCCCATTAACCAACTGTCAGTAAAATGTCTCTTGAAAACCTATGTTATAATATCATAGTACAGATAATAGTGATTAAATTGTATTTTGAATGCTTGCTAAGTGTGATTCATATCTTCTTTTTAATTTATAGACTCTGTAGGCATTGCTTGATTTATAGAAGCATCAAGGAAAAATATGATATCCCATATTCAAATGATGAGATGCATGTTTGACATTGCATATTGTTAAAAATTCCCAGTAGGAAATATTTTCTATTAAGATTTCATCTAAAATACATGCTCATGTCATGTAACCATATCAGATTAGAACCCTAATGGGTGTAGTAGTTTTTCCATGACTGCAGTGGGAATGATCACTAAAATTTTTCATTTTTATAAACTCTCCTAATGTGGTCTAACTTGTTTGTTTTGGGAATAAATTTTAGTATGTATATTTAAGGCACACACAATATAATGTTGTGGGGTACACATAGATGGTAAAACGGTAACTCTGGCAAGCAAATTAATATACCTGTCACCTCATAGACACGCTCATTTTTCACTTACTTTCTGTTTTTGACAGAACAGCTAAAATCTACTCATTTGGCAGGAATCCCAAATGCAGTGCAATTTTATTAATTACTGCTCTCATGCTGTACATTATCTCCACACAGTTCTCCATCGTTCATTTCTGCTGTTTGTAACCAGGGAGTTATACCCTCCTATTTCCCATGCCCACACTTCTTGTGTCCAGACTTAATTTCTATCTCTGTATACTTGAAACTAAAAGAGAAAACATTCCACATGTAAGTAAAGCTATTTCATGTAGTACAATGTCCTTCAGTTTCTGGCTTATTTCTTATAGCACGATGTGACAAATATCAGGGTCTCCTCGTCAAAGGCTTAACATTCCCCTGTAGAGATTGCTCATGTCTTAGTTATTATGAATAGTGCTGCAGTGAAGATGGATCCCTAGATTCTTTTATAATGAGGTAAATTCAGCCATTTATTGGTTATAGGCACAAAAGAGGGTTTGCTGCATCCTGAGACAGTTTTGCTTTTATTCCTTTTGGAACCCTATTTTGTTTTTGCAGCAAGTGGCTGCAGCAATCCACATTCCTGCCATGAGCATTCAAATGACCCCTTCACTGCATCCTCCTCAACAGCTTTCTCTTTTCGTCTTCTTAGACTTTTTGGTACTAGCTGTTTCTTTGTGGAGGATCAATGATCTCATAGCTTTGCTTCTCATCGCTGATGGTCAATGACCCTGACCATCTTTCCACATACGTGTGCTCCAGTTGTCTTTTATTTTTGTAGTGACACCTGTGTAGATCATTTGATGTCATTTTTTAATATCATTTTGCTTATGTAAGACCTAGCTCTTCGTCTAATGTCAGTGTTAGGCGTACATGAACACAACAACATATGTCAAGTTGTTCATAGCCTGTGTGTAATGTAGAATGCCCTCAAAACTAGTGGATTTATAGCAGGTTTTGTTTAACAATTACTGTAGTACCCAAATAAATAGACTATGTAAGTCTATCTGGGAATGATGGCTACGTGTAATGGTGTCTTCCATGAATATATGACTTTCATTGGTTTTTCAATCTGTCACCTTACAGATAAACATGGACCCAATACAGACACTGTGTGCAATACTGACTTATATTAAGTGTCTGAATTAATGTTACATTATCAGTTTTAACATCTTTGTTCTTGTGATTGAGCAAATATTACATCTAATCTATTTCAAGTATTCTGTGTATCAGTGAAACTCAGTTCCTGACATCATTTCTTTCAACTCATTTTTTTTCTTTTTGGTTTTTTGAGGCATGGTTTCTCTGTGGCTTTGGAGGCTGTCCTGGAACTAGCTCTTGTAGACCAGGCGGATCTAGAACTCACAGAGATCTGCCTGCCTCTGCCTCCCGAGTGCTGGGATTAAAGACGTGCAACAACACCACCCAGCTCAACTCATTTTTAAAAAGTTTATTTTATGTATGTTATGTGCAAATGTGTGATGCATCCCATATGTGTGAAGGCCAGTACAGAGGGCAGTGCATCCCTGGGAGCTGGGTTTACCAGCTATTGTTAGTCATGTGAGTTTGGTGCTGGTAAATGAACTCATGCCCTCTAGAAAAACAGCAGCACTCTCAACTCATCTTTCCAGCCCCTTCTCTTAACTCTTTGGTCCAGCAATGACCTTGGCCAAGTCAGTTGGGAAGACAAAAGGTGTTACAATAAAAAGAAGGAAATGTGCCCAATTCAGTTTTTTTGCACCCTTAGCAGAACCAAAATTCATTTTATATAATTTACTAGTATTTTAAAAACCGTAATGTATTTCCATTGTATTAATTGATTGAACATTTATTAATGTATTCATATATTTTGTATTATAGTGAGTGGACATCCAATACTCAAGAGAGCTAACATCCGGACTGCTGGCGAGTTGGTGGCTAGTTCCATAAGGGAAAGGAAAATGAGACAATTTTATAAATTATGAGAAGTGGGATAAAGTTTTCAACACAACACTCCTCCTTTACCTAGTTGAACTGATTGCCTAAGAAATGCATATTAGTAGTGACCACAGAATGATTTGTTATCAACAGGATAAAAGACAAACATCTTTGCATATGCAAAAGGGGATTTTGACAAGTTAGTTCATCATGATAAGAGTGTTTGGATAAGCAGGCATGCTTTGTCTTCTTCATTAAACATCTACTATTCAAATGAAGTGAGGCTGTACAGTGTCACTGCTTTCATTAGACAGAAATTGTTTTGCTACACTGTCAATAATTGTTACATACTTTAAAATTCTTATTTCAAAAATTCCTAGTTCTGATAGTTAAAAATTTTAATTCAACATTTTTATTCTTTTAAAATTGAATTGATGTGCTATTTTGCTGAAATAAACCATTTCAAAGAGTTTGTGTTTCAGAATATATCTCGTCACTTCAGTGTTTTAAACTGTTACTGAAAATTTTGTCTAAATCATATACCAGTTTTCCACACTCAGTATTCTTTGCATGTGCTCATTGCTCATGCTAAATGGAAGACCAGACATCCAATATGCTTTATGTATGATCCTTCTTACACTTTGTGCTGCAAGAATATCAGTCCCTTATGAATCTCAAATTTTGTTTTATCCCTATGTCTACCCTTAGATACATACTCAACTTAGTAAGTGGGGTTAAAGAAGCAATGTAGTTATAGCTATGGATCAGCAGAATCTACATGCAGCACAGATGAAGATATGAGTAATGACTGTGTGGCAGACATTTGGGGTTTTCAACATTCTTAACACTGACATTTTGCTTTTACAATATCCTATTTGCTCCCATAATGTAGTTTCCTGTAGGAATATACATGGAAGTCATGGGAATGAACTAAGAAAGTCTGTGTCTCACCTAAACTGGAGCCAAGGTAGCTTATAAACAGGAAGACTAAACAGAAAATTTTAGCTCTTACATCTGACAGGGAATTAAACACTGGTTACTAGCTAAAACATAGTATGAAATTAAACAACACATTCTTCTAACCATAGTGATGAAGTTTACTTTAGTAGAAAAGTTTTCATTATTTGTATACTAAAAACAGGAAAGCAAACAGAAGAAAAAAATGTAAACATGACTTAAATCTAAGTATTGCAAGTGCCCATAAACCTGATGCTGAATATGGAGTTGATAGATAGCACATTGGCAACTACTCCTAAATATTACGAGAAAGAAAATATACAATGATAATTAAAGGTTCTTTTGGACATGAAAAACAAGATATCCTAATAAGCATTATATAATCTCTTTAGTAAATAAGTGGAAATATGTATAGTAGGGGATTAATATAAAATAACATTAAAAGTACTTAACAGAAATAAAACAAATTCAATTATGATTATAACATTAGGGTAGAATATAGAAATACTTTTAAAAAGTGATATCTCTTGTTTCTCTCTCCTACTTTTGACTATCATTGGCTTATAGCAAACTAAAGTAGGGGTTCTGAATGTCTTTTAGAAGTGTGGGCCTACATTAAGTCTACTGACAATGTCTCTCTAGAACTGTGGAAGACAGTGTAAGGTCAGAGAAAGAAGCCTTCACTTTTCAATAGTCAGATTCTATATGAAAATTGGCACTTGATGCTCATCAAAGAACAAGAAATATTGGAGCTGTTCTAAATGTCCATTGTGTTTTGGAGCCAACTACCTGATGGAAGTCATCACTTAAATGCAAATGAGCTGTCAATGGCTTGCCACAGTTGGCAATCACTGGACTGTGAAGGGTATGTCTTAATAAGAGCTGAAGCTCTTCACATACTTTGATTTACTGGAAATAAAATGAAAAAGTCCTTTGAGACTACAAAGGACACTTGTTTCAGATAAAACGTCTAGACAGTAGCAATATATTTATGGCTTTTATTAAAGCAGAACTGCAAATTAGAATGGAGTGGTGAGAAAGTCCCTGTGACCCAGCTGAATTCTAAAGCACTGCTCTGGCTGGAGCAATATGGTCTTTAAAATAGTTAAGCCAACAAAACAAGAGTCTGTAAAGGAACAGGGGTCAGACATGCAAGGTCAATGCTTGGTTCCTTATATCTTTTGAAATCATTTACATCTTACTTTTTATATTTTTATATTTTCTGAAAAAAACTATCTTTCTTAATTAGTTCAGCTATTAAAACAGTTGAAGATTCTGCTCCTATGAACCTGAAACATGGATCACAACTCTAAAAATTCTAGTGTAAGAGAATTATTCATTTTCTTTCCAACTTTACCTCCAAAGCACAGATACAACTGAAATGCTTTATTCTCTGTAACTACTTACATTATACTGTTCATAGTAATGCTGGGTTCATAAAGTGTTTTCACCTATATTATGGAATATTGATGGATGAATCAACCTGTTATTGGTTCATCCATCGTTCAAGACATGGTAATTTTTTTAATCCTAAATATCCTGCTGCTTTAAGATAATATGTGGCTCATCTCATCATCCAGTGTGAATTAGTAGAAGCTTTGAGCCAAGCAGTCTCACTGGGTTCAGGCATATCTTTTCTACAATCATCCTTTAAAGCTACTGCTGCAGTCTTTGTGTCCAGGCTCAAAACAAAGGGAAGAATATGAGGAAAGCATCCCAATTTCTTAATCACTTCAACTGTACCTTGGAAACTAACCGGTCATCTGACTCCATCCACATTCAAGTATAGGAAGGGATGTTTTCTGTCTTTGCTTCCAGGAAGCATACTGTGCAGAATTCTAGATGTAGACAATAACAATGTAGGCAAAGGATGTAGGCAATCTGCATTCTTCCTTAACCTAGGGAACAAGAGATATTTCTAATGGTTTCACTTGAAATATTGCTGCTATTGTTATTTATAATATCACCATAAAATTATTTGAAGAATTTAATTATTTATACATTCTTCACATTTTTGTTAAATTTCTTATAGATCACCAAATCTTGAAATCATTAATTTTAAAGGAACTCACTTTTTATGTTATTGCTTGGGTAACTATTTGTAGAAATTGAAGAACTTTGATCTGTATTTTTATGTCTTTCATTTTTATTGTTCAATAAAATCATTACAAATAAACAATTTTAACTATATTTTGATAAGAACTTTCTTTTTAAATAAAAAAACTATCCAGTTTCATTTTGTCAACTAATATTTCTAGAGCAATGGAAGGGGACATGGAGTTGTATAATCTCCAAAATTTCCTGTATAAATAATCAAAAACAGATTGATTGAGGGGTATTCTAATGGAAAGAGTTCAAAGAAATTAAAACATTTCCCATATCCTGAGAAGTGGAAACTACAGATAATCAAAATTCAGATAGATTTGTTAATTTTTTAAACAAATGTTCTGGCTTCAGCCTGATTCTATCAAGCCTGCTGGCTTTCTGAAATAATTCCTTAAACTTGAAGTTGAGTAAATTTCATATTGGGATTAAAAAAAATAACAAAAGAACTTCTTAATTTTTTTCTGAGAAGTCTCTGCACATTTTGTTTGCTTTCCACATTGTTAAACATGTATTTTAAAAACAATACAATAGTATCAACAAACTACAGACTATATAGAGTATGTTGTAGCCACACTATAGTCTGTTCTGGAGATTAGCTCTGTGGGGATAGAGAGCGAGCAAGGCGTTTGTACTCCTGTGACCCCCACGGCCATATCGTGTCCTATGATCCTGAGGTTGATGGTTGTATTATGACTTTTTGATTGAGATTCCTGATATTGGTGAGACAATTCAAGGGTGACGTTCTGGTGCCCTATTTTGCAATTTTAACATTTTATTTGCCTGACATTATTCTTCAAATACACATTTTGTATCAACAGAGGTAGTGTCTTAGTGTTTCTGTTACTCTGAAGAGACACCACGGCCACACCAACTCTTATAAAGGAAAACATTTCTTTTGGGGCTGATTTACAGCTCAGAGTTTTAGTCCATCTTCATAATGACGGAAGTGTGGCGGTATGCAGGCAGACATGACACTGGAGAGGGAGCTAGAAGTTCTGCGCATCTTCATCCCTTCTCTTTTCCTTACTCCTTCCCTCCTCCCTTAATCTTGCCTTCATGTTTACTAAGTAACTCTAGTCATGGGAGACTCTAAGTATTAACACAAAAATATGTAAAAGTTAAGCTGTGCTTTCCAAATAATGCTCTTGATGTATACTGTAGGTATATGCGTCAGTTCTAAGATTGTAACACATACTCTTTCCGCCAGCTGCCTGGGTCCTGCACCTTTCTCTGACCCCAAATAACACACGAGACGCTATATTAATTATGAAACTTTTGGCCATTTGCTATGGTTTCTTAATGACTAGTTCTGACTTTAATTATTAACCCATAATTATTAATATATATTTTTATAGGGGCTTATCTTACCAAGAACGCAGACTTGCATCCTCTCTTCCAGGTAATCACATGGCGACTCTCTACTCTTGACAACATTTCCCAGAATCCTTCTCGACTCCTAGTCCCACCTATCTTACATCTCTATTGGCCAACAGTGCTTTATTCATCAACCAATAAGAGAGACAGATTTACAGAATGACATCTCCCATCATAAGATGCTCTGACAGCGATGAATACTGACACAGGGTCATCTACCAAGTCTAAGACCCTTATCATACAAGCGTATGCTGTGCCTGAGAAGGGAAAGAAATCATCCTGCAGCTGAGTGTCAGAGCTGGGATTTGGCAATAGAATTTCAGGTCTCAATCAAGCCTCCCTTGTCTTATGACATATCGTCTTCATGGAAGGACTTCCAATGCAGCCTCAAGCAACCACTCCGATTCTGGCAGAGGAAAGCCTCCCAATATCTTTCATGATCATCCTTCCCACAGGAAAAGATCTCTGCCATTTTCTTTTTCCTCCTCCTCTGCCTTAGATTTGTCAATTGACTCAGATAAGTAAGTTCAAGGTGTTAATGGACCCGAATGTCTTCATATATAACTTATTTGAATTTTTCAAATCTTGCTGTGTCATTATGTATAATGCCAGTACTTTCAGACATTGCCAGTACAGGTAACAAGTTTCCTCATTACCTATATGTATTGACTGCTAGATTTACAAACAAAAATTTTTGTTTTGTGTCTCTCCTCTGACTTTTGTTAGGTGACCCTTATAGAATGCATCTGAAGGTAATTCAGTAACTAATTATATATTATGTCGATGATTACATAAGAAAATACTGTCTAATATTTTATTCTAGCCTAGCTGATACAAAATATCTTATATGAACAATTACAAAGATATGTATATGTGTGTCAAAGCATTTTTTTTACATTTGATATTTTCAGAGAACTCAAACCAATGAAATACACAGTCCTTTAT